CATACATACATATCTCTCAGACACGGTCAACAATCTAGACAACCATGTTCCTCTCATTTTGAGTCCCATCTGCTATAGCTAGATTTATCTATAGCTATACCTTAAGATAGAAATACCACATATCCATCTTGGTATACCACTGGAGCATTTTCTTGTAAATTATATAAGTAGTTTGCAATTAAAAATGTGCATCAATGTGTGTGAACATTTAAAAAACAAACAGGATTTGAGGAAATCAAGGGTTCATGTGATGTATGCTCATATTGACAGTCGATCTAAAATGTGTCAGGACTGAAAAGACTTGAGTTAACATAACTTTTCAGACTTGAGCGTGTGTGTGTACTGTTTTTACCTGTGCCGTCTCCAGCTTTAGCTTGTCGATGGCCAGAGCTTGGCGCTGCAGGCCGCTGGCACTGACAGAGAGAAGCTGTTTGAGGCTCTTGATGTCATCCTGGACTTTAGAAATGCCCTTAGATGACATCCTGCTGATGTCCTCCTGAACTTGTTTCTGGTCTTTCACAAATTTTCTATAAGAAAGGAAGAAGGAAGACAATTGGAAATTACTCAATTAGTGTTGTATTTCAAATCAATGTGAAATATGGATTTTTGGTAAAACTCCTGGACATACGAAATGTGAGCCAACACACAGGCTAAATAAGTCCACTTTGGTACAATAACACCAGTGATAAAACAGGTTATTATTTGGATCTATACACAAATATGTGACAATTCTGCCAAACAATGTGCCCGTGCATGTGACCCGATAGTCACTGGATCAAATCCTGTCACATTATATACACACATAAAACTTACTGGAAATTATCGACATCCTGACAAATAACTGGGGGCAGGTTCTCATCTTTCAACGCTTTACTGTCCCTGAGGGAGAAAGAGAGAATGCTTTTCATCAGGTGTACATAACGGGAAATGAAGCCACTCATATTATTTATAGTATTTCACTATATAGCATGTACAGTTCTGGACAATTCTAGTGTTCCCATTTAATGAATAACAATGCACATGTTGGTTAGCAGGACTTACTTTGCATTGGCTCCAGATGATGTGTCGCTCTTGCTCTCGGAGGAAGTGCTGAAGTCGACCCCACCCAGGCCCATGCTTGGGGCCGGAGCCGCTGATACTGCTGTGGACGCAGCCAACAGAGAACCCAGCGTCAACCCGCCTCCAAGAGTGGTCTGACCCAAACCTGCAACACCAGGTAAACGTAAACACTGGGTTACAACACAGTGCAATATTGTGGCTGGGGACTACTTCTAGCGCTGTGCAAAGGCACCAACTCATCTGTTTGCGTCTCACCTGTCGCCAAAGTGTTGGAGAAGAGACTCGCGCCCAGCGACGGGCCCATCGAGGCCGCTGCTGTGGTCATTGTTGCACCGCCAAGACCAAGGGTGAAGCCTGCTGCGGGCTGCTGTGGAGCCGTGGACGTCAGCACAGAGCCAAAGGATAAACCTGCCGCTGCAGCGGCCGACGACGGGGTGGAAGAGGTGGTGAGGGAGAAGGGTGTCGCTGAGGCGGTGGGCTTGTTGAAGGCCAAGCTAAAGCCGGTGGACGCAGCCGCAGCGGCTGGGGCACCTGAGAGAAAGTACATAGAAATAAAGGTTCCAACCCATTTTTATTTACTTTCCAAGAGCTTACTTCAGAAATATCCCAGAAACACAAACATACCTAATGTAAGGCCTGCAGTGGGTGCAGCGGCGCCTAAAAGAGAACATCACAACATAAGAGGTGCATATAACATAAGCTGTACGGCTGCATCTAGCAGACAGGTTAATTAAACAGGAAGTCACTTTTTGCAATAGGTTTGTCTTTATATCTGTGTGACATTATTACTTGAGGCAGGCGTGTTGAAAGAGAATCCAGTAGGTTTCTGACCAAAGACAGAGCCTCCAAGACCAAGAGATGGGTTGGTGGTGCTGGGAGGGGCGGCAAGGGTCGTGGCTGCTGATCCCAGAGCAGATCCGATCGAGAAGCCACCAGTGTTGGCCGCAGGTGCACTAATGAGGAAAAGTGCAGAAAATTCTGTCACATAATCACAGTTCTTCCATGGTCCCTGAGTCAATTAGCAAACTAGAACGCAAGGGATATCACAGTAATGCAAACTGCTAACGTTATACGATGCAACAACCCTCACTTCCATAGCAATGTTCTTCACCCACGTCTGTACCTTTAAGGATAACGAACAGGAACCGAGACAATGTTATCAAGTCATGAGAACTGTTACATGCTAACGTCAGGTCAACTCGGGCTATGCTAACGTTAGCTAAGTCGGCTTTTTGAAATGTATAATTACCTGGCTGGGGCCCCAAATGCAAATCCGCCACCAGTGTTGGTGGCACCAAGAGTCCCCGATCCAAAGTTAAAGCCAGACATTTTGTCTCACGAGGTACACATTCAACACCAACTGTCGAGTCGGTCTTCAGCCACTCGTGAAGACGCTCAGAGAGCAAACCAGCATCCCAGCTAACGCGCTAGTTAGCTTTGAACGATGCCCGCGTGAGGGCCAAATCCGCGCTGTCGCCTTTACTGAACACACAATACAAAATGTCGGCTTTTCCCCAAATAATGCTATTGTCAATTCCGGAAATGTTCGGCTGTCGTGTTGTGTTTTCGCGCACCTCAAATTCGTTTTTAGATTTGTAAAGCTGTCAAATGTTGCAGGATGAGTTCTCGCATGGTGTTACTTTTCCTATTCCCCGCCTGGTATTTCCCAAAAGCTATTGCATTTTGGGTAACGTTTTTTTTAAACTACATTCCCCATCGCCCCAATCGCTGTTTTTGTGTCGCGTGATGCCTCACACATGCGCAAGGTACCAACGTCCAACCCCTTTACAAAAACCCGACCTTGCTTTTCAAAATAAAACACGCCTTTTGAGACCTGTTAAAAGAGTAGGCTAGACAGGTCAGGTAACACCCAAGTATTTGTAAAATAATGTTCAAACCCTATCTGCACAATACTGTTTCCCTCTGACACGCCGTATCTTTTTTGTAGTATTTCACTTGTCATTTTCTGTATTATATACACGGTCCATTTTATTTGAGAAAGCTTTCTGTTCTTCTATTGGTTTTAATGTTAGTATTTTCTAACTCACTCAGTTGTGTTTTACACCGGATATAAACTATATTAGCTATAGTTATACTGCTTATATATCGTGAAATACATTAAGCAAATTTGTCATACCATTTATTTTTTTCCCTGTTTGCACCATCCCTTGTACTAATTGCAAACACGTTTGTGTGTTGTTATGTAATACTTGCTAACTGCATTCCCTCATGACAACTGTTGTTTTTTCTACCCTGCCATTTGTTATTAACTCATGAGTGAAATTATTGTTTTATCTTATCAAAGATTGCAAAGTTTGCAAAGTGGGCCACTGCCGGAACAATATAAACTGAAATAACTGGGGGCTTTAAGATTACATCTGCATGAGTACAAAAGTCTATTTTGAATACGATTATTATTCCAGTGTATTTACATGCATGGCGCACTTTCCTAAATGGTAAAGTTGTGCTTGTGGCAAAACAAACTTAAACATACACATCTTACAGAGTGGGATACATTCGTGATCCACGTTGTTACAAACCAACACGAAGTCGTGCTTTTACTTTGAAAAGTACGCAACGTAAAGTGCTGACGTTATTGCCAGGATATTTACGCGGATGGAGGAGTAGAAATAATTGACAATAAACACACATCGTATGCCTCCGACAAAAGTGCCGGCAATTTGTGCAGCAAATTGAGCCAACGCGTTATCAATGATAACTTCATCTCCGTACGTCGTCGTGTGAAGCTCTGCGGTCGCTGACGGCTGTTCCGACTCGGTGAAATGGAGCACATCCGAACGCCAAAGGTAGCTAACAGTTCCAGCTAATCGCAAATGGATATGAAACAGTCAGCTGCTCGGCCCGTCTTAGTTGGGCTTTCTCTAGTGTGATTACTTGCACTAGATATCAAAGTTAATGCTCGCGTGTGAATGTGTATGGATGTGATAGCACGATGAGGAGCAGTCAGTGTCGCCAGCAGATAGCAGTGTCAGACGTGACGAGCATCAATGAGCTGTGTGTTGTTGTTTTTTTTCCTGTACTGCAAATAGCTACTACTTGTAAGCCCTTTTATTGATTGAGTTAAAGTTACACTGCTAAGCAATGTGAAAAAACACCACGAGGAGAAACCAAACTTCAAGCATGACGGCATATTGATGGACCCATCAGATACACAATAGCCTACGTACCTGTATGTCTGATAGTGTTTGTATAATATAGTTTCACTTTTTATGATCTGGACAGTTATCCTAAACATACTTAAATAAAACTACCAAGGATTGGGGCTTTGCCAAACAGTGGAATCCCTTACTGAAGACCAGACAAGCCTTGCAGAGCATCACTATAAATGATACAAAGTGGCTGCTGATGTCTGTGGGGTGGATACTTCAGACAGTGATTGATTGTTCGAGGTCCATTTGTTGTTGTTCTGCAAGATAGGGTCGCACAACTACATGCAAGTGGAAGCCCCTTTATGTCTCACACACGTAAAACAGAACAAACATAAGCTGCTATAGCTCCCAGTTTGGGACATGCTTTAGGCCCACACCTAAAATATTCACACATACATACGTGTGCGATTATTTGAAAGGAAGCTGTGTCACCTGATTTTGGAGACTCCAGGATAGTCATACATCATGTCCTGTAGAATGAGGGACCTTATTAGTCATGTGCTGGGATCAGGTGTGTGTGATTGCCAGCAGACTGGGTGTGGCCCTATTGTCTCAAATCTTCTTGGTTGTTTGCTTGAATAAGACAGCGGAGGAAAGCAAACATATGTTGTCACTTGAGAAAAAAAGTATGCAATTTCCAAGCTATTTGGTGAATATTCAAAGTACTTTGAGGCGTAGCTGAGATTGCATGATTAGTTGACAACAGATATTAAACATTAACAACTCTCTTAAGTGACTAACTCGCTTTTTTCACTCACACACACACACTCCTAACGTCTATGTGCTGAGTAGCTTGCCTATGCAAAAGCTGAGTCCCGTTGGATGCTGGGAGACAGAGATAGGCTCAAATATTTCATCATATCTGAGAACGACCGGAAAGCAGAAACAAAGGAGAGGATGTCTGAGTCAACCAGAGAACTGCTAATGTGCTGAATCATGGATTTGCTGTTTGCTGCAGTCGCTGCTAACTGTCAAACTAGCCTTTTAGACACAGGGTAAAGGTCGCTAGTAACAATCGGCTTACTACTTTTTTTTTGTTTTTTCTTCACGGCCAGTGGAAAAGTGTGACTTGAGTACACGTTGCTTGTTTATGTGCGTGGATGAGTTGGGCTCACTGCAAGGCTACACACCTGCAGCATTTGAGAATACTTTTTCAATAACTGGGAAAGGAGAAAATAGAGAAATGCAATAGTTGCGTTTGAGTGGAGGTGCCAGCAATTGGTCAAACAGAAAATTAGGACCCAGATGGTTCGTGCACATTGACATCACATTCGTCACAAATCTTCAGTCAAAACCATAATTAGACTTTCTTCCACGGTCCAGAAATCATTTGTGACTCTATAATGGGACTGGCAGTTGAAAGTTGGGCCCAGGTGGTCAGGATTAGGTAGTGTGCCAGCTGGAGCCGGTGCCAAGCGCCACTTACAGCCATTTTCTGTTAGCAAGACCCTACCTTCCTTCTTTTCAGTATACCCACCCAGCTAAAGATGTTTAAGAACCATGAACTGCTCATTAATGTTGTTATTACTGCTTTGTGTGTGTGTGTGTCTTTGCAGGTGGAGCAGGTGCGACTGTTGGATCGCTTCAGCAACAAATTCACCAATGGCACGCTGTACCTCACAGCAACACATCTCATCTTTGTGGAGAGCAGCTCAAACAACTCCACGTCTGCCGCTCAGGAGATCTGGGTGAGTGGTTTCGGTGGAGGCTGCTTACACAATGCACCTTTTGGTTATTACAGTAAGGCCAACCATGCGGAGTGCTGTATGCCACAGTAGTGCAGGGTCATCGGGAGACTGGGAGGATGTCTACAGTGGAAACAGTGTCTCATGGCTACTACTCCATGCGCCCCACTTTTTTTAGCTTTTAGCCTATTTATTAACATTTAGTCTGTACTGGAACTGGACTTATGTACTGGACTGGACTTATGCGGCGTAATGTTGCCAGGAGCTTCTTGCCAAATCATCGCTGCTGCTGCCGTCACAAATCTTTGGCTCTGAATGTGCAGCCAGTTTTAAAGAGACATGCACGTGACCGCCACAAAGAAGTCTGCAACCCGGTGGATTTTGTGTGCGGTGGTAGTAGTGGTGGTGTGTGTGTGTTGGGCAAAAGGAGATATTTGCAAGCATGTGTGTGTGTGGTAAGAGGAAGTTGGGTAGAGGTTGAAACGCCTCATTATAAAGTAGCAAGATATCCGGTTTTCTTCCTCCGTCTGATAGAGAATTATTACTGTTACCGCACCGTGAGAACTGGGTTATTGCTATCTGGGTGCAACAGTCGGTAGGCCATCGTGATTGGTTGGCAGTCACCTTTTTTTACTGTTACAATGGCAACGGAAGAAATGTGAAGCAGATCCTGGGCCACGACCTCCTCCCCACCGGCCTTCCTGCTTTGTATGCTGAGAAAAGGGAACGTTTTCTTTTCCCCTCTGTCGGTGGTATCGTGTGGAGCGTCGTCTCCTAATGTACACTGTTTCTCTTTGGTGCTATGGTTGCGTGTAGGTTGCCTGTAAACATCTGTATGTGTACTGTATGTGTCTGTAGTTGTGGAGGCAATTCAGAATGAGTCTGTTGGTCAGCGAGAGAGAGAGTTAGAATGTTATTGTCCTTTTATACAATATTAAACAGTGCGTGTGTTTCACTGGTCGTTACCAATGCTGATGCCAACGCCCCCATAGAACATGGTGATGTACGTCATGGCATTCAAATCATTTATGATTATGTGGTAATGTGCAGCAAGCTTTTTGCAACTTTGCTCTGTTCAAAGTGCCTGTTCCTGAAATCCTCGCGCATCTTTCAACGTTGCGAACCATGTTTATTCCTCATTCTTATTTACTTTAGGGATATTTATTAGGAGCTTCAAATGCTACAGCAGGCATGAAGGCCCATTTAACAAAAGCTCTTTTTTACAATGATTTGAACATGGGTGTCAGATGCTCTTCATTAGTCCTAATGACAGATGTAGGTGTGCAGCAGGTGAACAAGTGCCAGGATGTATAGTACATTAAATAGTTAAACGTTCATACTCTGGCTTTGCTTTGTAAGTCATGTTGTTTGAGGTTACTTGTGGGTAAGCGTGTATAGTTATTCTTGTTTTTAGTGTACAGGACATTACTGAAGGTGCAGAAAATAATGTTGACCATCTCTTCATGTCTTTTGAATGTGGTGGTTTATACGCTGATAATGAGTAAGGCGGAACCAGCCTGCAGAAATCCAGGGACATACGGACTACTGACAACATTACAAGGCGCCATAGTTCCTACTCTACACAGTACAGGCAAATCAGCACCTTTGCATACTAAGAATTTAAAGCCATTCACTGAAGATCATGAACTGTCCCTCTCTTTTGCCCCTTTGCTCCCCCCCCCTCTGCAGATTTTGCACCACCATATAGCGTCTGTGGAGAAGCTCTCCCTGACCGCCACAGGCTGTCCTCTGGTCATCCAGTGTCGCAACTTCAGGCTGGTTCATTTCGTGGTGCAGAGGGAGAGAGATTGCCACGACATTTACAGCTCGCTGCTGCGTCTCCTTCGGCCTGGTGGGTTTTTCAGCTCGTCTGTGGAAGATCTGTGCTTTTTCTCCGTCCGCGTTTCGTTAAGGCTCCTTCTCTGGTTCCCTTTCTCCTTCGTGCAGTATCGTACGAGGAGCTCTACGCGTTCTCCTACAACCCCAAACAGAACGACCAACAGAGAGAGGAAGGGTGGCAAATCATTGACCTCGGGGCGGAGTTTGAGAGGATGGGCGTCCCCTGCGACCAATGGCAGCTCACGAACGTCAACAGAGACTACAAGGTAGATAGTAAGCTGTATCTTGTAAACCGTAAGTGTTCTTCATCTGAAGCGCCAAATTAAAATACACCGTTGGAGACTAATCCTCAAGGGGAGAATATTTAGGCAAATCCTGGTGCTTTTTTTGTTGCCTCTGATGCTGCAGTTATAAATGCTTCTTTTGTGTGCTGAGAAGAAGAGGAACACGCACATAGTCTCTACAGTTTCATGGTATGTCTTGTTAAGAGTTTTATGTAAAATGTGCTGAAGCACAGAAATTGATGAAACAAAACTTGAATGGAAAAAAAAAAAAGCTCCCAAATGATAGTCAGCATGCACTCTGGCCAGTTAAAGCTCGACTTCCTGTCTGTTGTTGAACCTTGGCACGGCTCTGTGTGCCATAAACACGACCTGCAACAAAGACAACGGATTGGACAGTTTGTTGACGTGACATGATTACAGAGAGAAACATTGGCACTTGGTAATACTTTATTGTGTTTTGTGTACATTTTCTAGGCTTGCCTGCTCAAACATTAGGCAAGGCACCTCGATGTTAACCTGGCTATAAAGGGAGTGGTGGTAGACAGTACGACACATTATGAAAACATTATGCATACATGTCCAGCAGAGGGCGCATGTGTCCCATTACTGTTAACATTTAACACAACATGTTTACGCACAGATTAGTTTTTAGAGTACAATAATTCGTTTTTTTACTACTAAAACGATCGACTAATGATTTTAGTTACCATGTTTCACAGTTCAGAGCAATACTAATTCTGATGCTCACAAATCAGGAGACATCTGGCAGTATGTGATGTGTGCGTGTGTTGGTTTTCCAGGTGTGTGAGACATATCCGCGGGACCTGTATGTTCCCATCACAGCCAGTAAGCCCATCATTGTGGGGAGTTCCAAGTTCAGAAGCAAAGGACGCTTTCCTGTACTCACATACTTTTACCAAGAAAAGAAGGTACTGTATGAGTACCATTTTACAGTTGTTTCATACATTTTCTTTTATTTGGTTTGTAGAGAGAATGTGAAAATAAAAATGACCATAGACTACAGGTGTGGTGGAGTATTGGTTTTCAAAAGAAAGTATTCTTCCATCAGTGCTGCAGTGGACTTACCATTATCTTACTATTAATACTAATGATTTTCTAAATGTCTTACTGCTGATGGAGTAGAAATATGTAAAGCTTTGCATGGAAATCTGCTTTTTGGTTTTTATATTTCATGTACGGATTGGAAGTTTTTACCTAACACGGAAAGTCTGAGGATCACCATAACTATTAGCAGATACTGTCTTGAGTCCATGAAATCTGGTTGATGAAATCTTGTTCAATAATCTCAGAGGGACTGATGAACATAAATAACTGTCTGTGGGCCCTGCTAAACAAAAAGTCAATAAAACATGTGTTATAGCACTGTAAGTGCTCAGATCTAGGCAGTAAAACAAGTCTGAGCAGACCTACTACCCGCATTCTTTCTAACGTGCCCACACCTGAATTGGCAAACAAACAATAAGCACTCTGTAATCAATCAATGGCACTTGATCTGGGGGTTTTCATAATGTGAGCAATAACAAAAACACAAAACAGCTTCGTCATTATCATTGATCTATTTAGGATTGCAAAGCTGAAAGACGATACTGCTGTTTTCTGTCTATAATCCAAACTAAGAAAGTAAATTTGAACTCTTTTTTTTTTTTTTTTTTTTTTTTTTTTTTTTTTTTTTTTTTTTTTT